TATATATATATTATATACAGGGTGTCTCATTTTATATTTGACAGTTAAATATTTGAAAGGTTTATTCGCGAGGTTTGAGAGAAAAATGTTTCAAACAAAAGTTGTAGGGTTTCGAGGGAGACATAAGATGATAACATTGGTTTGACCCTAAGTGGCGTCGTCAAAGTCAGGACAGGTCACTTTGAATTTTTTAAATGGGACCCCCCATTTTTTATTGCATATTCTTGTAGCTTATTTCAAGAACTTTCCAAAACACATAGACAAAATGTTTTTTGGTTAAGTAAATCTCGATTATAAAGCTTGAAAAAGTTACAGTACCACCGGCATTAGCATTATCTAAGGTGTCCGAACAATGGCTGAAACCTTTTGTTCAGGATCATGGAATGTTGTTCAGGATCATGAGCTTGACAACATGTGTCAAGGCTATGATCATTGAAGATTGTTTCTCTTGTTTTCATTTTTGAAGATTATTTTTATTTTTTGAAAAAAAAAACATTCGCCAGTAATCATGACTTTGACACATGTTGTCAAGCTCATGATCCTGAACAACATTTAAAAGATTTCAGCCATTGTTCGGACACCTTAGATAATGCTAATACCGGTGGTACTGTAACTTTCAAGCTTTATAACTCGAGATTTACTTAACCAAAAAACATTTTATCCATGTGTTTTGAAAAGCTCTCGAAATAAGCTACAAGAATATGCAACATGGGGAGTTCCATTTAAAAAATTCAAAGTGACCTTGTCCTGACGACGCCACTCAAGGTCAAACCAGTGTTATCATCTTATGTCCCTCTCGAAACCTTACAACTTTTGTCTGAAACATTTTTCTCTAAACCTCGCGATTTCTAAATATTTGACTGTCAAATATAAAATGGAACACCCTGTATATATTTTTTTTCATGAATGAATAAAGACATATATATTCTTATACATTTTTCTTTTTAAAATTACACATATTCTTTAAAAAAATTAAATATAAATAAATCTTAATTATAGAGTAATTTAGAGTAAATATGAGATTTAAGGAATGTCTACACATTACGTATTTATATATCTATAAAAATAAGAAAAAATGAATTATGTAGTAATTTTATTTTATATCGTATTCTGCCACTCATTATATAAACTATTTTGAATTGGGCGATCAATATTTCCTTTGTTCGATGTTTTGTAAATTGCAACGTCGATATGCAATATATGTAGAGTAATAACGCTTCTTGAATACTAACGATACTTCATTACAGTTTTCACTTGCCGCCTATTCACCGCATCACGATCGACAATGCATTAAGTGCTCAAAGCGATCAGAAAACTGCAGCAAGGGCATCTTGTTCACTTTATTACCACAAGAATGGACCGGCAGCGCACCTGTTGCATAAATCGATCGGTGCGAATGAATACCTACGTGTAGGCTGAGACTGGACAGCGGCTTACGTTTCGGCCTATCAACGATATCAACAACGCTTTATATAAAAAAAAAATCAATAATTTTGAAATAATCGCTTAAGGAAAGTGTTTCACTGTTCATCTGCAATAATCGAAGCTTTGATATAATCTCTTTACATAATTTTAAGATATATATGACACAATCGTGAAAAATTTCGTTTTAACATTGCACGTAAAGTTTGCAATTTGTGAGCAAAGAAATCAAATACTAATTTGATCAACATTATTTTGTAAAATAATGTTTTTATAAATAATGATATAATTTTTTTACGTAGATGTATAAATTATATTATTATCGTTTTATTATATTTTATTAATACAATTAATTGTGAATATGTCTGCTATATATGTAAATATTTTAATAAATCTATAACTGTTAATTCAGTACCTCGTAAATATTATTTATAAAGTGGCGTAAAACAATATTTACCAGAAATATTTTCATTCACGAATTTAACGCCTTTTACGACCACCTCTTACGGCCTCTTAATCCGAGAGAAATTGTATTATAATAAGTACTCTCTCAAATATCGTTTGAATAACGGACTTAATTGATCAGAGAAGTGGCGTAATCCATCGATTATCGGTAACGAATCGCACCACTGGCCGTATATCTACCGGTTCTAGTTATGCATTCTATCCGAATGCACAGACGGTACTTGTGCTACAATCAGTAAATGGAGACGAGAACCTATAAATTGACCCATTGTACGCCGACACGAGTTGGAAAAAGCGAGAAAAAATTCATGAATCCGTCGGAAACGAGAGATTTCCTGAGAATTTTATCTCGGTTAAGTCCGAAAAATAGCGAGGTAACTATCCTTGAGTAATGTAAGTTATTAACTCGATGAATTCATTAACATTCATTAAGGATGATTATCTCCACGCCGAATATTCCCAAAACGATTGAGAATTTTTCGTCAACTGCATTTAAATGAGGCTGGTAGCTCGAAGAGTATAATTTGCACAAAAAAATGATCTAATATAAATTAAGTGACTAAATCGTAAAATAATTTGTCTAAAGAATTATATATTTAAAGATACGTTGATGCAGATATATATATATATATATTAAATATATATTATATATATATGGTTACTGTAAGGATTAAAAAAAAGCATGAAGAAAATTTCTATAAAATATAATAAATAGATAAAGATATAATATATTATACAGCTTTTATTTCTTGTAACATTAGAAAATATACTCTTAAATTATAGTTTTTTCTAAATGGATGATGAATACTTTCAATTACATACATTTATTATATCTTTTTGATTAAAGTAAAATTGTTTCAAACAATATAGTTTATTGGATATTAATATATTTATTTTTCGACACACACGTTACTTTACAGTTTAATAAATTTTTTCAACACAAAACAAATTTTCTTATTTTGTTAATAAAACATTCATATGACTTTCTTAAACTGACTATCCAATTAAACTTTTTATTGGATTAAAGATTGACATTATTTTTTCCTTGTATTGAAGATATAAAATGTTCTCCTCGAAAGGGAACATTTTGGCTTTAATGAAAGATCCTTTGACGCATTTGAGAAGTTTTTCTTTTCTTAACAAATTTATTTTGGAGGAAAATTCTTACCTTGAGATCAGTGATGTTATAATTATTTCCCGAATTATTCACAGAAGACTGCGGTGTGAAACGTGTAGGGGTGATCGTGGTGGTCGTGGTTGTCGGAAATGATCGCTGCCTCGTCGAATTCGATAATCTACCTCCCTCACCGATACGAACCGCTGAATTGCCTCTGCCCACACTTGTGCCCTTGGGAACCGTACCCCTGCCAGTCCCGATTTTGATGCCTCCCTCTCTAATAGTGCCGGGCGGACTACCTAGCACCAACAACGGTGAAACCACCAACGAAAGGATCCAAGCAGTCTTCATGGCGTAGAATTTGTTGCTCGAAGCGACGACCGTTTTTATCACGAGACGGCGTTCTGCCCACGATTAATTCGATCGTATGCCGCTTCTTTATGCTATCTTGACACCGCGCTTCCATTCAAAACACCGGCGAATTCTTCAGCGTCGCAACGACGCGACGCAATCGCATGCACGCGCATTTCTGTTGTTGTAATGTCGTCTCATCGCGATCTGATGAACCTGAAATAAAAATTTAAAACTTGTTAATATCAAGTAACTAATTATTTAAGTATACAATCAAAAAGATAAATATTAGTTAAGAAAAATCAGAAATATTTGAAAACTAAATCTTCAATTTTATCTATGACATTTTTATCTTGAATAATTGTAACTTTTAATATAAAGATTTAAAAAATTTTCAATATATTACAATCAATATTTTGTTTTTAATTACATTCTACTCTGTCTCAAATTTTTAATAAAGCTATTAGCCATCCCCTCCGAGAGAAACGAGAGACGCGTAAATACTTAATTTACGGTGCGGCAATAAATAGAAGACATGTCGAAATAATCCTTCGCATTTCTTCCCAGAATGAAAGCTTCAACTAAGAGGGTCTTTAATTCAGTTGCCCTAATTTGACGTTGGAGCACATACAAACTCATTTGAGGGTTAATTCCTTCGTTTATTTCCTCGGTTCGCTCCACCCCTTTTGTGCTATCTAAATCAGGAGTTACAGTTCGACAAATCTATAGATACGTCTTTGATCCGTGAATTTCGTATATAACAAGCTTCTCTGATTTAGAGAGGATTGCGTATGAACCATCAAGGCAGCAGACGGCTATATATAATAGTCGATTTCCCGTAGGATTAGTCGGACAGTTTGATCGGTCATCGCTACACGTCATCGTACACGAATGTGAAATGTTCTGTCTGACAGATTGGGTCTATCACGAATCGAGTCTGCACGTCGATACCGCGTAAATCTGTAAAGTCTAATCGGATAAATTTCAATGTCATAGACGTCGACATATTTCGTTTTTTTTTCTGTGGATTAAATCTAATTTAAATCTTTTCCAATTAAAATAAAAAAGTATTATTTCAAATCATTGACGTTATTTATTTAATATGTTTTATACTGGATTATGTGTACATACAAATTTAAAACATTATCTTGTAGAAAAATACAATAAAAAAGAATAACAAAACTAGAATGTAATTTGTTAACAATGATTTGGCTAATGATTAAAGTTTGCATCAATATAACAAACAGAATAAAAAAAGTAACATGCAAATTAATAAATAACACAATTAACGATATTTGGTTACGTCTTGATCAAGGAACAAAATGTTGTTTCAATCATCATGAGACATGTACGTTGTAAAATCCTATTTCCTAAATTATTAAGAATTTTCCAGGTCAATAAAAATTAATATTACAGAATAAAAAAAATATACTTGTTATGTAATTATATATGTTAATATAAAATATTATTAATGGATATTATAAAAAATTAATACACACCAACATTCGTGTCGGCTCGATAGTCATTACTTCAGTATATAATATACAATGTGTAAGGAGAGGCGGAAACATAGACATATAAGATAGACATATTAAACTATTATATAACATAGACATATTAAACTGATTTCGACGGGGATGTCTTAATACAATGCCTATCTTTCTTCTTATTGGGTATCGCGCTTCATTGATTTTACGGAAAACGATCGCGACTAACGACCTGGATCGCTTTTAAAACGGCACGACGAACACGTTTTTGGGGATCCGGACTTTCAATTTGCGCTGCGTGACGAGATCGTGCGACGTACGCAAGAGAAACGCGAGTCCGTTTTATTTCACTCTATTAATAAAAGAAATAAAATTTTTTGTATAATATGGAAATACAATACTGAAAGCTATATTATAATATAAGTATAAATCAAATTTACTCGAAACTTTGCACCTGAGAATTCTATTCAGAACATACCTACACGAGAGATACATATTTTCATGTGGAAATTTTATGAGATTGATATCCGGAAATAGAGCAGCAAGTACGCTTCATGTCCAAATATAATCCTCATATAAAGCTAGAACATTCAACTTTTATCAGTCTTTCTTCGGGTTTAGTTTCAGAAATTTTTCGATCTGATTTTTCGGACTTCACCGGAATACTTTGGTCTTCTAAAGAACGAGCTTTCAAGACCCGTAACGAACGAAACTTCTGGTCTCACATAAGTTCACCAGGCGGCGATGTCTAAAAGAAAAAAGCTTGGAAAACTTTCGATTTTGAGAAAGATATAGTCGAGACGTAGAAAGTCAAATATCAAATTAGCTTGACTCAATTTATAGTCCAAATTATTTTAACCAATTGAGTAAGATATGCACATATTTATCAATTATAAGCAATTACGTTTTACATAAATTGATTAACTGTTTTTTCATATAAAATTCTATTCAAACGTAACTTTAAAACGTTAAGACATTATATATAAATAAATAAGAAAAGATTAAATAAGAAGTTTTATTAATTTCTAATTTACATTTAACAAACCTTGTAACTTCGATGTTAACTAATAGCATTGCGAATTTCCATGATTCTTTTATTGATTCTAAATATTTTCATTAAAAATTAAGTTTTTACATAACAAAATGTTTATTTATTGTTTATCAATTGTTCAAGTATGTTAAATTGAATAGAGAAAATCTTAAAAAAGTTGTTAAACTTCTTCAGGATTTTCTATTCTAAAGTAGGTTCCTACTTTGTGGCGTGAAAGCTTTTCACGGCTTTCCTTTTGTAACATAAAACGTATATATTGGCCCTTTCACGTTACGGTCGCCTTTCTAAGTTTGATCGAACTTCAATCATCCAACTTCCGACAACAAATACGGACAAAATTGTATCACTGATGCTTATATCGATAACAAATATAAGACCAAGAAGGAGAGGCTCAGACGTGGTAATTTTAGAAAAATCTGAAACTTATGGTAGTACTTATGAAGTGTATCACTTAGCATTATTTTGGCTAAGCAGTAAGACGCGCTTTTCAGCTTATGTCGAGAAAAAAATTTTTTTATGTTAATATTTATGTCATTTCTATTAACGAGAGCAAGCAAATTAAATCCAACGTAACAAGGATCCGAAATTAAGTATTTTTGTGATTTTGGAGATTAGGAAAAAAATAGAATATACGGCACATAAAACACATTATAAACGTAGCTTTGTCACATGCGCAAGATTTTTGAGACTATTGATAATAAATAACAAGTATGCTTTGCCATCAATAGCCTCAAAAAATCTTGCGCATGTGACAAAGCTGCGTTTATAATGTGTTGTATGTGCCGCAAAACATTGTTTTCCCTGCCTTTATGACGAATATCATCCAGGCTCATGCGATACTTATAAAGCTGACGTACAAAAGATTGTACGATATACAGTGACCAATGCCAATTAAAGAATAAATAATATTATTTGAATATTCTATTTTTTTCCTAATCTCCAAAATCTTAAAAATACTTTATTTCGGATCCTTGCCACATTGGTTTAATTTGCTTGCTCCTCATTAATAGAAATGACCTAAATATTAAAATTAAAAAAAAATTTTTTTTCTGGACATTGGCTAAAAGTGCATCTTACTGCTTGGCCAAAATAATGTCTAAGTGATACACTTCACGTACCATAAGTTTCAGACTTTTCTAAAATTACCACGTCTGAGCCTCTCTTGTAAGATCAGTATAATTTTACTATACACGGAGAGAATTTTATTTTAAAATTTACCCTGAAAATCATGTTAATTGTAGGACAATATAGTATTTTGACAAATTTTTATGTAATTTTCACTATTTTTTTTAAATATATACTATAACAATTTATATTGTAGTGCACAGTCAAATTTATCGAATATTATGTTGTTCTACGATTAACATGATTCTCAGGATAAATTTTAAAAGGAAATTCTCTCCATGTACAATTTTTACACTTTTTATTCTGAAAAAAATTATAAAAACGTACAAAAAGAATTATAACTATCAATAAATAATTTCTTTCATTAACCGGCATATAAACTCGTTCTACATATCTAAAATACATGATGCGCTGTCGATAACAAAAATGATATACAGTCGATACTTCTTGCTTCATTTGTCGATTGTCGGACCTGCATTCAAAATGACATTTGTTTCAACTTTGACACGCCGGCAGCTATTTCATTATTGCAACGTTTCGACTACGCAGACACTCGTCGGTACCGACTGCAATTTATATTTCGGACACGTACGATATGACGCTACACATACGATATTATGATAGATATTTTTTAAATGTTCAGTTATCTTTCTCGGGAACTGTCATTAATTATTGACATGGTAATAGAGCGATTTGCATGGAAATCGTAATAATAGAAGCATTATACGTATTAACGTCACATGCGAATTCGATTTGTAATTTACGAGTGATGCGCTGACTTTACATGCAAACAGTTTTAATCCCAAGCCAACATTATACATTCAAATGCAAAATGTAAAACGCAGCTGGTATAAATTCAATCGCAACACATTGCATTGCATTTCCTAACTTGTATAGCAAAATTTTTATTCCCGTATAATGTATGCGAATGCAATGTACAGTTAAAATGTCCTATTACTAATGTAATTCTATTTCTCTTAATTAATGTATAATTTAAATAATAAATTATTGTCGTAAAATTTTGCTCCGAATTGAATATAATAGTTAAACTGTATAATATGTACAACAATTTTGTTTATATACATTTTTTATATAAATATAATTACTAATTCATTTTTCTAAATTGGTTTGGAAGTTTACCGTTTAATCTCCAACAAAATAATCTGTTTTGTTGGAGAAATCAGATTAATAGATTAATTCTAAAGAACTTTGAGAGAGTTAAATAACTCGAGATAAAAGGATTTAGCGCTTATCTTATACAAGTAATTGGTTAACAATTTGAGAGTTGAACGGAAGTAGACAACGTAGCGACAGTTACGGTATCTCACAGCATAAATTCTTCCGAAACTTTTTACAAGATACTTTCATCTTGTCGGGTTTGTCCGAGTTTATTGCCAAAGTTCGTCTTATTCTCTCTCTCTCTCTCTCTCTCTCTCTCTCTCTCTCTCTCTCTCGCTTCTCTTTCGATCTTCTTCGCAAGACGATTTCCGAAGTCAAATATTTGTCTCCGACCGTGGCGCGCGCGAGAACGTCTAATGATCTTCGCTCACAAA